GTAAGAATATTTTTTGTGTAAGATTTGTTTTCTAAATTTATTTCACCAAGAGATGAAGGAATAGAGAGAGAAACATCAATTTGCTGTTACAGTTACTTATCGATTCATTGGTAGCTTCCTGTAACTACCCTGACCAGGAGTTGAACCCACAACCTTGGCACACTGGAATTTTGTTCTAACCAGCTGAGCCTCCAGCCAGGACTGTAAGAGTATTTATATGTGCTGGATAAGAAGCCTTATCACATCTACAATTAGGAAGTATTTCTCTCATTAAATGGGTTGGCTTTTCACTTTCTTACAGAGCTAACTAATGAACAGAATGTTTTCTTTTGATGAATTCCAACTGAAGCCTTTTATTTTCTGTCCAATGGCCAGGGAATCAGAGCAGGTTCAGGGGTAAAGGCACATGCAGTCCCAAGTTTATTGATGCAGGAAGGCCTGGGGGATGCCCTGCAGGTTCCCAGTGGAGCCAAAGGACACAAGGCTGCCACTGAGCAGGTGACTCCCTCCCCATCCCTCTTTCCTGCAGGGAAATCAGGGCCTGGGGCAGGGGTTGTGCTGCTGACTATTGTGGAAGCAGCTGCTAGGACCCTGCTGCTCCTGCTCTGCCTCATCATCCTCATGTGAGCTCTGCCTCAGGGGAAGGGAGGGGAGAGGAGGCAAAGGACAGGGGGCTGAGACCAGGGTCAGGGTAGCCAGGGATGCCCTCCCTTCCTTCTGTGTGATTCAAAGTCACTAAGTCTTGTCCATCCTTCCTCCTTAGCACAGCTCAGGTCAGTGCCCATCTCCTCTCCATCCTGACCCTGGTCATTCCTGTGATCTCATCTCTTCCTGGGTCTCTTAACCTAACAAAGTCCTGCCACTATCTCTGTCCTCCACTCAGGCTGCCTGATTGTGTTTGCACACACCTATCCTCAGGTTCTGCATGGTTTGATCAGCAAAGTTTCCTCTCAGGGCCCAGGGCTGAGGGGCAAAATCCACAGGCTGGATTTAGGGTTGGTGTGTCCTGTGCCCTGGACTCTCCACTGGATTCCACCCTCTTCTGCAGTCTTACACCATCCCTGCACCCAGCTGGGCCACAGCCTTTGTGACTCTGAGACTTTGCATGTGCAGTTCTTTCTACTGAAATGCCGTTCCCTTCTGATTCCTACATCTCCAAGTGCTGATCATCCTTTGTCTCAGTTAAGAGTCACCTCATTGCATGTGTGTGTGTGTGTCTATTTCTTGCATATGGTGAACAATAAAATATGTGGTATTGTGATGTATTTATATCCTCTCTAGCAAGTAGGACTGAACCCCTACTGTGTGCGATCTTGCAGACACTGGTGATGCAACTGTGAACCCAGCAGCATAATCCATGTATTGCAGAAGCAGCCATTCTGGAGACAAGAGAATAGAATTTAAATCAGTGATGACACTACAGCACTGAGCCACGGAAGGGAGGGCCTGTGTTTTGGGACCAGAAAGGGGTTTTGAGGGGGACGTTCGTTCTGAGAAGCCACCTCATGACCACCAGGGGACATCTGCGAGTATGCTGGTGTGAATGATGGAGAAGAGGAAGTGGTCAGGACTGGAGATGGGGGCTTGTGTGACAGTGTGAGATGGTGACAGTGGTGAGTGAGGACAGACTCTGGCAGCCCAGAGAGAAGAGAAGACACAAGAAAACATGTTGTCACCGGGCTTCAGTGGTTTTTGGGAAAGGTGTGAAGATGTGATTGGAGCAGGATCAGGAGAGAACTGGAGGAGGTGATATGGGATCCCAGCATCCAGAAAACCCTCTGAGGAGTTTGTCTGCAAAGAGGAACAGAGGAGTGAATGCAGTGAAGAAGGTCCTTTCTCGGTTCCTTCTCTGCCTTTTCCCCGAGCCGCCCCGTAAGTTCCTGCCTATGTTGCTTCCTGAGGCCATTGAAACACGTTACCACACACTCAGAGCCTTTTTTGGTAAAGTGTTATCCTCTTGGTTCTTGGGGCCAGAAGTTCATGCAGGAAGTAAAATATCTTCTCATTCTGTCCTTCTAAGTTCTCAACTGAGACCCCCTGGAAAAGCAAAAGACTAGATGCCACATGTTGGGGTCCCATGTCCTGGACCCCGTGATGAGAAATGAGTTCCGATGTGTGGAAATCAGGTGGTTGGTGGGACTCACGCCCTCAGAGATTTGAGGGGAGAGCGCACCTTTGTGATTCCCAGGGCCTTGGGATCTTGGCCATGCTTGGTTGGTGTGTGGGTCACTGGAGCCTGTCCCTGGCCACACTGCCTCATTCCGCTCTGGATGCAGAAAGTCACCTGCTATGTCTCCCTTGGAGGACACGTGTGACTACATTCAGGGACTAACCTCAACAAGGGAGAATTCTCTCCAGGTCAGTATCCTCACCTCCATCCCGTCTGCAAAGACTCTTTTCCTTATCAGGTAACATCTGCAGGTAGTAGGCTTTCTTTGTGTGGCCAATATTTACCCTCTGCAATGGCCATGTGACCTTCTGCCCCTCATTAATGTCCTCATCTGCCCTCCAGACAGTTTGCCTTGTTGTTCCACATCCTGATGCAGTACAGGGTCACCTTGTGGGGGGCATATGTCTTGGGGAACAGGAGCTTGCTGTTCTAAAAAGCCAATAGTAAGAGAGTTAAAAAAAGTTGCAGAATTAGAGCAAAATATCTACAAATATAAACTTCATTTATCACTTGAACCCAGAATATATCCAAGATATTCATGTGAAGCAATACTCAAAAAAGTAAATCCCACTATAGAAAAAGTCAGTTAACAACAAAAACAAACCAGAAAGGACTACTTACAATTTGCTCAATTATTTGAATAGACATTTCTATAAAGACACACAAAAAGTCAATAAATACATGAAAATATGTTCACCATTACCAATATGAGATAAACTTAAATTAAATCACACAAGGAAGTTTCCCCATGATTCTGTAAGTTGACTATTATCAAAAAACCAAAACAAAACAAAACAAAAACTGAAAGCACTGTGGGAGGGAATAAGAAGTAAACTGGCCTCTTTTTCTTTTCTGTCTACTGCGAAGCTCTGCATCTGCTTTGAAAAACAGTCTTGCAGTTCCTCAGCATACTAGATTTTTTTTAAAACCCCACACTTGTGTTTTTAGAAAAAACAAGTATGTGAGCAGAAACGTGGTCAACTGCCCAGTGACTACAGCCTTCCTGTGGTGGGGGCTTTCTCAGGGACATAGACCAGGTCCCCGGACCACCTCTTGTTTTGTCTCCAGCCAGCTGACACTTAGGTGCTCACTGAGTGCTTGTGAATGAGTGAACTAGTGAGTGAGCGAGTAAGTGAATGAATGAATGAATGAATGAATAAGTAAATAAATGAGTGAGTGAGTCAATAAATGAATGAATAAGTGACTGCTGCCTTCTCCTCACAGGGATCCCCTCTACCCTTCTTTCCCGACCCTCACAGGAACATTACAAGTCCTACACCCTGTGGGACCCAGCACGACTTCCAAATGAGGCTCTGACTCCTGGAGCTCATGTAGGGGGTTGACCATCCCTTCTGATGGGGCCCCTTAAGAGATTCACGTGTCTGTCCTCAGGGATCCTGTACCTGCTGCAGTCCTGTAGGAGAGCCCATGAGTGGCCAGAACTTGGGGTCAGCGCTCCATCTGCTCTTCTTTTGGGGGGTGGCCAGTATCTCTGGGTGGTGGGTGTTTTCCAGCTCTGTGCAGAGAGGGATGCACTTTTCCTCTGAGGTTCCTCTTTTGTGAACAAATAAGATCTTGTGCTCCTCCCAGCTTCCGTGGTCTCCCCACAGTCCCCCTCCCACCGCCTTCATTCTTTTTTCACCCACAGGAACAGGACACCCTCCTTGTCAGCCATGCTGCCACTGCTGCTGGCCCTGCTGTGGGCAGGTGAGAGGCTGAGGGGAAGGCTATGGGTGGGTGAGGGCAGCTGCTGATCCCGCTTTCCCCACAGGGTCCCTGGCTCAGGATGGAAGATACAACCTAACAGTGCAGGAATCTGTGACGGTGCAGGAGGGCCTGTGTGTCTCTGTGCCTTGCTCCTTCCTTCCACTACTCGCATTTCCACTGGTACATGGTTTACCCTGCTGACGACTACTGGTTCTGGGAAAAAGCTAACACAAATTTAGATTCCCCTGTGGCCTCAAACAACTGAGATTGTGAAGTGCAGGAGACGATCCAGGGCTGATTCCAGCTCCCTGGGGATCCCGGGAACCACAGCTGCTCCCTGGACATCAGACATGCACACAGAAGAGACACAGGAAGATAATTCTTTAGGGTGGACAGAGGGTCCTATGGCAAATATAGTTACAAATGGAACCAGCTCACTGTGCATGTGACAGGTAAGAACAGGCTCCGGTGGAGGCCACAGGGAAGTTGACAGTGGCCCCAGGGCAGGGCTGGGATGGCCCCATCCTGGGAGGAGGACTGGAGAACAGCATGTTGAGGCTCAGAGGGAGGATCTGGACCAAAGTCTGAGGCTTCTCCCAGGGCTGCACATGGGATCCCAACTCCGGATCTCCTGTTCCCCCTTCCCTTCATCAGTTCTCAATAACACACCTGACATCTTCATCCCGGGGACCCTGGAGTCCTGGGAGCAGGGCACGCCCCCCCTCTTCTCCTGGATGTCAGCTGCTCACACCTCCCTGGGCCCCAGGACCCACCTGTCCTCCATGCTCACCCTCACCCCGCAGCCCTAGGACCACGGGACCAACCTCACCTGTCAGGTGCAGTTTCCTGCAGCAGGTGTGACTGTGGAGACAACCATCCAACTCAACGTCACCTGTGAGTGCTGGGTCAGAACAACAGGGTCGCTGAGGGTGTGGGAGCAGGAGAGCCAGGCTGCTGTACAGGTGCCTTTGTCCTGGGGGCCTGGCTGAGAAGGGACCCAGAGGACACAGCCCTGCCCCTCTTGCATTTCTGTTGTCTCTACAGATGGGGGGTTACCTACAAGTGTCTCACCCCATTTTACCCACTCTTCCTCTTCCAGGTGCCCCCCAGAACTCAGCCATCATTGTCTGCTTGGGAGATGGCCCAGGTAGGAAGGAGATCATTGTGGGCTTTAGGGAGCATGGCTTCTTCCAAGTCAAGTCAGGGCCAGGTGTCTCCCTCACACTGGATTCACCCTAAGCACTCTGTTCTTAGGCCACACCCTAATAACAGAGTGCTCCCTCTTTTTCCTCCTCCCCCATGGCTCTGTGAGCAGCTGTCCCATATGCCACCCCCCCAGGACTCTCCTAGCCCCTGTCAGCTGCACCAGGAGAACAAGGCACCACCCGCATGCAGAGCAGCCCCTTGGGCCCCTGATCCTACTTCTCCTGGTCAGTCCCCCCAGGTTCAAGTTTAGTTTTTGTCCTACAGTCTTTAATATCTTTATTCTTATATTTTGTTCTTTATTTTTTTACTTTTTCATGGAACTTAATGAGGTGACATTGGTTAATACTATCATATAGGCTCAGGTGCATAATTCCATCACACAACTTCTGTATATACAGTTGGATAACATTCCATTGTGTGGGTGTTTCACACTCAGCTGTTGATCAGTAGGTAGACGTTTGGGTGTTTCCATTTTTGACAGTGAGAGCACTGCTGTGAATATTGGTTACACTTTTTTTGTTAAAACATATGGTTTCTGGGACATATGCCTGAGAATGGAATTACTGGATCACATGGTAGTGTCTGTGTGTCACTTTAAGAAGAAACTGCAAACTGATCTCTATGGTGGCAGCTCCATTTCAGGTTCCCCAAAGCAAGTATAAGCCTTCCGATTTTTCCCCACAATAATGTGCATTGTTATTCTCCATGAAAAATAGTACAGGTCACTAGTGGGGGCAAAAGGCTATTTCACTGTACCTTTGATTTGCATTTGTGTGCAATAATAATGAGGCCATTTATTTTCTTGTGGAGTTACTGTCCCTTTGTATTCATCTTTCAAGAAATTATTTTCAAGTCCTTTGCCCATTTTTAATGGGATTGCTTGACTTTCTGTTCTTGAGTTGTAGGAATGTTTTTCATTTAAGATATATTATAAATAGATTTTAGAGAGAGGGGAAGGGAGACATAGTGAAAGAGAAACATCAATTTTTTGTTACCCTTATTTATGCACTCATTGCTTGCTTCTTGTATGTGCCCTGACCAGGGATTGAACCCACAACCTGGACACATTGGGATGGTGCTCTAACCAAATGAGCCACCAGCCTGGACTGTAAGAGTTCTTCACATGTGCTGGATCATAAGCATGACCAGATCTAGAATTAGCAAATATTTCTCCCATTAAATGGGTTGGCTTTTCACTTGCTCCATAGAATTAATTAATGAACATAATGTTTTATTTTGATGAATGTCAACTGAGGCCTTTTATTTTCTGTCTCACTGCAGGGAGTCAGGGCAGGTTCAGGGGTAAAGGCACAGGCAGTCCCGCGGCTACTGATTCAGGAAGGCCTGGAGGATGCCCTCCAGGTTCCCAGTGGGACCAAAGGACACAGGACTGCCATTGAGCAGGCGACTCCCTCCTTGTCCCTCTTCCCTGCAGGAAAAACCAGGGCCTGGGACAGTGGTGGTGCTGGTGACCATGGTCAAAGCAGCTGCTAAGACACTATTCTTGCTGCTCTGCCTCATCGTCTTTGTGTGAGCTCTGCCTCAGGTGGGAGGAAGTAGAGGGGAGGGCAAGGGGCATGTGGATGATTCCAGGGCCAGGGCCAGGGACACCGATGTATCAGGGGTTGTGCTGGCAGGAGGGGGTGGGTGAGGACTCACATGGACAGCCTTCATGAGTGTCCAGGCTGAGATGTACCTACTGTGCTCGAGATAATCTTTGAGACTTGCCCTCCCCCACTTCATTCTCCCCACTGTCTCTTGAGAAAGAAACAGGGGATTGGGTCTGCTGTCCATTGCACCCTGATCCAACCAGACTGGAAAAGCTAGGTCTCTTCTCTCAGAGTCAGGTACCACAGGAGGAAGGTGATGAGGCCCACAAGGGGCATGAAAGATGCAAACACAATCTCATATTGATGTCTCAGGTGAGTGACTCAGGATTCTCACTGCCCAACATGCCCCAGACACCACCTCCTGGATGGTCCCTGGGATTGCTCTGTCACCATGTTTTTTTTTTTTTGAGCTGCCATCTTCCTCCCCCAACCCACTACTTTACTGGGTCCTGGTCACACAGATGATACAGTGCCCTCCCTTCCTGCTTAGTGATTCAATAAATCACTAAGTTTTTTTTACCGTTCCTCCTTATCGCAGCTCAGCTCAATGCCCATCTCCACCCCATCCTGACCCTGGTTGTTCCTGGGGCCTCATCTCTTCCTGGGTCTCTGAACCTAATCAAGTCCTGCCTCAACCTCTGTAGTCAACCCAGGCCTCCCAACTGTCTTTGCACACACTTATCCTCCTTGCCCCACATAGTTTGAACAGCAACATTTCTTCTCTGTGTCCGGGATGAGAAACAATCTCCACAGACTGGATTTAGAGCTGGCATAGCCTGTGTCCTGCTGGACTCTCCACTGGATTCCACCCTCTTCCAGAATCTCACACCATCTCCACACCTAGCTGGGCCATGGCCTCTGTGACTCTGAGAGTTTGCACGTGCAGTTCCTTCTGCAGAAATGCCCTTCCCTTCAGATTCTTATATATCTAAGTGTGTGAGTAATTCTTATGTGGTTTTGAACAAAATAATAGTTATTTTTTTATTTATAGCCTCTCTGGTAGTATGACTGAACCCCTACTGTGTGCGATCTTGCAGACACTGGGGATGCAACTGTGAACCCAGCAGCAAAATCCATGTCATCCAGAAGCTGCCATTCTGGAGGCAAGAGAATAGAATTTAAATCAGTGATGACACTACAGCACTGAGTCACAGAAGAGAGGGCCTGTGTTTCAAGACCAGAGAGGGGATTTGAGGGGAATGTTCATTCTGAGAAGCCACCTCTTGACCATCAAGGGACATCTGCGAGTGTGCTGGTGTGACTGATGGAGATGAAGAGATGGTCAGGACTGGAGATGGGCGCATGTGTGACAGTGTGAGAGGGTGACAGCGGTGAGTGAGGACAGGCTCTGGCCACCCACAGAGGAGAGAAGACACAGAAAACACATCGTAACTGGTCTCAGTGATTTGGGGGCTAGAAATTCATGTAAGGAGTAAGATATCTTTTCCCTGTGTCCTTCTAAGTTCTCAACTGAGATCACTGGAACAAAGACTAGGTGTCATATTTTGGGGTCATATGTCCTAACCCCCATGATGAAAAATGAGGTCTGATGTGTGGAAACTCGGTGATTGGTTGGGATGCACATCCTCACAGGCTGCAGGGGAGAGTCCACCTTTGTGATTTCCAGGGGCTGGGGCTCTCAGCTGTCCTTGGTTGGTGTCTGGGTCACTGCAGCCTGTCCCTGCCTGCACTGCCTCATCTTGCTCTAGGTGCAGAAAGTCACCTGCTGTGTCTCCCTTGGAGGACACATGTGACTACATTCAAAGACCAACCTCAACAAGGGAGGATTCTCTCCAGGTCAATATCCTCACCTATGTCCCATTTGCAAAGACACTTTTCCTCATTGGGTAACATTTTCAGGTACCAGGCTCTCTTTGAGTGGCCAATATTCATCCTCTGCCCTGCTCATGTGACCTGCTGCCCAACCATGAATATTCCCACCTGCCCTCGAGACTTGGTTTGCCTTGTTATTCTACATCCTGATGCAGTAGAGAGTCACACTGTGAGCGACACATATCTTGGGGAACAAGAGCTTGCTGTTCTATAAAAGCCACTATTAAGAGAGTTAGAGAAAAAAATTACAGACTTGGAGAAAAATATCTACAATACAGACTTCATGAATGACTTGAATCCAGAATATATTCAAGATATTCATATGAAGCAATGATCAAAAAATAAGCCCCATTGTAGAAAAATAGTTATTAACAGCAACAAGAAACAGAAAGGAACCCACTTACAATTTCATAAATTACTTGAATAGACAATTCTATAAAGACATACAAATAGTCAATAAATACATGAAAATATGTTCAACATTACCAATATGACATAAATTTAAATCAACTCACAAAATGAAGTTTCACCATGACTCTGTAAGTTGACTATTACCAAAAAACTAAAAAATGAAAGAAGAACTGTGGGAGGGAAAAGAAAGAAGCCGACCTCTTCTGATTTGCTCTCCACTGCAAAGCTGTGCTTCTGCTTTGGAAAACAGTCTTGCAGTTTCTCAGCATATTAGATTTTTAAAATACCCCACACTCGTTTTTTTTTGTTTTTTTTTTTTTTTTTTTTTTAGAAAAAACCCAGTATGTGAGCAAGAAATGTGGTCAACTCCCCAGTGACCACATCCTTTCTGTGTTGGGAGGCAGGGGTGTCTGTGGTGGGGACTCTTTCAGGGTCATGGACCAGGTCCACGGGTCCCCTCTTGTTTCGTCTTCACATATCTGACACTTAGATGCTCACCCAGTGTTTGTGAATGAATGAATGAGTGAATGATGAGTGAGTGAATGAATTAGTGAGTGAATGAATGAATGGGTGAGTGAGCACTGTCTTTCTCTTCACAGGGACCCCCCTTTTCCCTTCTGCTCTGACCTTCACAGGAACATTACCAGCCCTACACCCTGTGGGACCCAGCATGTCTCCCACATGAGGCTCTGACTTCTGCTCATGCAGGGGTTGACACTTCCCTCTATTGGGGGGGGCCCTTAGGAGATTCACGTGTCTGTACTCAGAGGTGGGGGTCCACTTATGGTCCTGCAGGGGGTCCCTGAGCGGGGCAGGACTTGAGATGGGCTCCACTTCTGCTCTACTCAGGGCAAGTAGCCAGCATTTCTGGGTTGCTGGGTGTGCATAGGCCCCGAGCAGAGAGGGATGTGCTTTGGCTCTGAGGTTCCTCTTTTGTCAACAGCTCAGACCTCGTGGTCCTCCCAGCTTCCGTGGTCTCCCCACAACCCCCCCTCCAATGACCGCCTACATTCTTTTTCACCCACAGGAACCAAACACCCTCCTTGTCAGCCATGCTGCCACGGCTGCTGGCCCTGCTGTGGGCAGGTGAGAGGATGAGGGGAAGGTTGGGGGTGGGTGAGGGCAGCTGCTGACCCTGCTTTCCCCACAGGGTCCCTGGCTCAAAATGGAAGATACACAGTGATCGTACAGGAGCTGGTGACAGTGCAGGAGGGCCTGTGTGTCTCTGTGCCCTGCTCCTTCATCTACCCGGGGAGCAATCGGCATCACGGCATTCCTGCTTATGGCTACTGGTTCCGGGAAGGGACTAATGAATTACAAGGTCCACCCGTGGCCACAAACAACCAAGATCGAGAAGTGCAGGAGGAGATGCAGGGACGATTCCAGCTCCAGGGGCATCCCAGGAACCACGACTGCTCCCTGGACATCAGAGATGCACAGAGAAGAGACACAGGAAGATACTTCTTTAGGGTGGACAGAGGGTCCTATGGCAAATATAGTTACAAATGGAACCAGCTCACTGTGCTTGTGACAGGTAAGGAACAGGCTTCAGGAGAAGCCACAGGGAAGTTCACGGTGGCCCCAGGCAGGGCTGAGATGGCCCCATCCTTGGAGGTGGATGGGGGAACAGCATGTTGGGGCTCAGAGGGAGGATATGGACAAAGGCCTGAAACATCTCTTAGGGCCACACCTGAGACCATCTCCTGATCCCCTGTTCCCTTCTCTTCATCAGCCCTCAATAACACACCTGACATCCTCATCCCGGGGACCCTGGAGTCTGGCCGCCCCATGAACCTGACCTGCTCTGTGCCCTGGGCCTGTGAGCGGGGCACGCCCCCCCTCTTCTCCTGGATGTCAGCTGCTCACACTTCCCTGGGCCCCAGGACCCACCTGTCCTCTGTGCTCACCCTCACCCCACGGCCCCAGGACCATGGGACCAACCTCACCTGTCAGGTGCAGTTTCCTGCAGCAGGTGTGACTGTGGAGACAACCATCCAACTCAACGTCACCTGTGAGTTCTGGGTCAGAATAGTGGGGTCCCTGAAGGTGTGGGAGCAGGAGAGCCAGGTTACTGTGCTGGTGCCTTTGTCCTGGAGGCCTGGCTGAAAGGGACCCAAAGGACATAGCCATGCCCCTCTTGCACTTCTGTTGTCTCTACAGATGGGGGGTACCTACAATTGTCTCACCACATTCCATCCTCTATTCCTATCCCAGGTGCCCCCCAGAACCCAGCATTTGGTCCCTGCCGAGGAGATGGCCCAGGTAGGAAGGTGCCTCCTGTCCATATGGTGTTGATTGAACAGGTGTCTGTGCCCAGCTGATTCAGAGTACGTCTCCCAAGTTCAACAGAGGGACAGGACACAGTTAGATAGAGGAACTCCCTTTAGGCCTCTTCCCCAATGTCCTTCACTGCTGTCCACCAAGGGTGACCTGCAAGCTCCTCCCTGCCCATCCTAAAGGAGGCTCTTCCCTCAGTCATCCATGCTTGGGGCATTTTGCAGGAGATGCCATGTTCAGAGCAGCTACAGGCCCACAGTGAGGCTGAGCAGGAGGTAGAGGGGTTGTCCCCACACCTGCCCCTCCCTTTCCTACAAGCACATCTGCCACCTGAGGGGACATGTGCAGTCGATGAACCTGCAGTGACTCAGCACCATCACCCACAATCCACAATCTACTCTGGGGTCCACTGGTGGTGCTGGATGTGCTGGGGGTCTGGACTGTGTGTGATGGTCTGTGTCCTCCTTTATAGTATCACACACAGAGTCTTTTCAGTGCTCAGAATAATCTCTTTGGGGTGTTTTGTGACTGCTGGCCTCTCAGCCTTGACCCTGGCCTGTCCCTGGAGCCCAGAGCTTCCCCTGCCCTGTTCCCATTGGTGACAACATCTGGTTCCCATCCACACTGGACAGGGACCTTCTTCAGTCCCTTCACACACGCAGTGCTCAGAAACACCACCCTTACTGTGGGCATGGGGCTCCTGGGAAGCTGGCCAGATGAAACCAAGAGACAGGTTTGGGGCTCCCCAGGAAGTCTGAGAACCTCCCTGATTGTGCCCCTGTCTGGAGGCACGAAGGCCACCTTCGACCCTGAGTGACAGGGCCAGAGGGGATGAGGAGAGAACATTCAGATTGCTTCCCAGAAGGAAGGAGAGGTGGGTCTCTCGGCTTCCCACAGCTCTCTGCGTGTCTCTGCAGGAATGCCCATCAGACCCTGAGACATAAGGTCCTGGGCAGCCAGAGAGCATCTGCTTCAGAGACACCCAGGTGGAGAGCCACCTGGTCTCAGAAGAAATGAGGGGTGCTGTCCAGGAGCATGGGGACTGCCTAGGGGGTGTCTGTAGACCATGCCCTTTATGCTGCAGCTCTGGGGGACCTCAGTGAGGAGCCTGCATGGGAGCTGAGGGGCACCCCTGCCTTCATGCTTCAGGGAAAGGAAAACAGCTGCTTGTTCAGACGGGAGCTCACCCGAGCCTCTCTCCTGTGCAGGGAAACCAGAGACCAGGGCAGGTGTGGTTCGTGGGGCCGTCGGGGGAGCCAGTGTCACTGCCCTGCTGGCTGGCTGCCTCTGCACCACCTACTTCCTGTGAGCTGCCTAGGGTGTGGGTCCCAGGTGCAGAACGGGGGCTGGAGCTGTTGGGAGGCCTGGGGGAGGATGGGGGTGCAGTAGTAGTGAGAATTCAGCCGCTGAGCCAGGCTTCAGTGTGCTCCCAGCTGTGGCCCCAGATGTCCAAGATCAGGAGGACCTGGTTAGAAAGTCTTGTTGTGAAGGTCCCTGGTCTGCTCCACCCTGCACCTGCCCTAGTCACTCACTCCAGCTTTAGAGAGTGACCTCTCATCAAAGACTCTGGCATCTCCCACAGAGTGAAGAGGACCCAGAAAAAGAAAGCAGCCAGGCCAGCAGGGGACAAGGACGACCCCTACACTGACATGGCACCAGCTTCCATGGTGAGTGACCTGGGCATCTGGTGCCCAGCCTGCACCCCCCACCTTCTCCCCAGGGTGGCTGGGCCCATACTAGCACTGCATTTGGGATGTACAAAAATGAGGTCTTCAATGCCCTCCTTGTTTTTGAAAATGTAGATTTTATCATTACTCAGTATATCAGGCCAACACACCTGAGAGACATATACCACCATTTATTGGTCACACTTCCCAAGAGGCAGAAGAGAACCCACCCTACAGGCCCAGGTGGGGCAGCCCAGGGGCTGGTCAGATGCAGATAGAAGGAGAAAGGGGGACACATGGTCATATCCTTGATGGAGGTCTCCCTGGGGAAGGCAAGGTGAGGCAGGGGAAGTAGGCTTAGGCCTGGCTGGTTGGAATAATGTCAGTGGGCTCTAGGGTGTAGGGGCTGCCTCTTGTTACCTGGTACCTGGTCCTGGTGGGATTAGGACAGGAGAGGAAGGGCCTGGGGTGTAAGAGCTCCATAGATGGGGTGGTAGGGACTGTGCCCTTTGGACTGGCTGGATTGCCGTGTGCAAGTCACGTTTGCAGGCAAGTCCTTCCCTATCTTTAGCCTTTGGCCATGTCTGGCAGAAATAGTTTCCCTAGGGGTGCAAAGCCCCTGGTGTCATAACAAAGAAGGATGTGGTTAATACTCCCACAAACATACTCCTGCTGGATCTCCACCTCATCACTGGTCTTCTTGTCCCTGACACCCAATCAGAGACCTGTCCCTGTCCCTCCTAGTCCTGCATCAGCTCCTCCTGCACCAAGATGCTGCAAAGCACGTCTGCACTTCTTCTGAACACAGCTTAGCATGGCCATTCCCTTCAGGCTGAGCTCCCGTCTTAGTCCTTATCCTGCTGATGCTCCCCACCCTGCCCTGCCTCGTCATGCCCCACCCACCACCTCTCCATCTCTCCTTTCTCCCATGCACATTATCATTGCATCTGTGAAAAAGCAAGTCTAAAATACTGTGAGCTAACGAGGCCCAGGCCACTTTGTCTGGCATTTGACGCCAGAAAACCAGAGTCACCTTTAGTGCTTTCTGCCTCCCACACTCACCTGCTCACTTGCCTCTCAGCATCACTGGTGGTCTCTCCCTGCCCTGTCACCTGCCTGGGTCACCCACCTTGTTCCTGCTCACCCTCTGTGCTCTGGCTCTCACTTACGCATTGAACTCTGACCAATGCAGGCACCGAGGTGAGGTCTTTGAGCACGTGACTCACAACACCATACCACTGATCTTTCTCTTCAGCAAATACCTTCCACTTGTCAACTGTTCTGGGCGCTTGGGTAATATCTGCATTTTTACAAATTATTAGGTTACTGATGTAAAACGTCCCTACAGAAAACTCTCTCCTTGGCTTGCTGATGACCATCTTCTCCCTGTATCCTGTCATGGCCTTTTCTGTATGTCCATGCATTTCTGGTGCCTCTTCCTCTTATGAAGATTTAAGTCATTTTGGGTCTTGCCCTAATGACCCCATTTAAAATTGAGTCCTTCTCCAAAGGCCCAAATGCCAAGTTCAGTCCCATTGGGAATCAGAGCTTCAACCCATGAATATGGGGGCACAAGTTAGTCCATATGAAAGCCTGAATCAGGGGAACAACAATGAATTTAGTATAAAGTGGTTGGGTTCTGGATACATTTTGAAGGTGGAGTCAACCAGATTTGCACTTGGACCTGATTTGCCAATGGCATGTGGGGTGCACTAGGGGTGGGAGCAAAGAGAGACCATGGCTCCTACCTCACAGGTGCCATTGGTGTCACAGGTGATTCCACAGACATCATAGCTGTCCAGTGATGCCATTGGACATCAGATGGACCTGCATGTCCATAAGTATCCACAGTCACCAGAAGGTCTCTCATGTGGTCACCCTGAGCAACTTAAAGAACTGAGTTACCATTTCCCAAAATGGCCACCTCCCTGGAGGAGGACAGTGTGAGAGACAAAGCCTTGCTTCAGTCACCATAAGTTTAAGCTGCTTCTGAAATGTTTACCTGAAGATGACAAACAGATGGTCGGAGTCAAGAGCTCAGTAGAGGGCAGGTGGGAAGTGAGGAGATTTGGGGGTCTTCCCCCAATGTCTGATAGTGCATGACACCACTGAGATGAGAAGAAGTCTGCAGACAGAGCTTTGAGACCCTCCCTCACCCCAGTGATTAGAGTCAGGGAGACATGGTGGACACAGAAAGAAGACTGCTGAAGAAAAATGAATGACCAGAAGAGTGCGGGGTCGGATCCAGGTGGCCAGAAGGGAGTCAAACTTCAAGTCAAACTTCAAGGAGGAGACACTGCTCACGTTTTCTCAAATGCTAGTAAGTCTGGTGAGACAGGGTCTGAGAAATGGCCATTTAGATTGAGCTGAGTGGTGTAAGAGCTGATGTGGACAATCATGGGTCTGGAGGCCAGGTGGAGGCACATGTCCTCACTGGAGTGAGTTCAAGAGAGACTGGGAGAAGAGGAAGTGCAAAGCCTCTTGAGAAATGTTAACTTGACAGCCAAGAAAGGAGTGACAAGCTGGACTTGCAATTGGCATCTGATGTGCAGTGAGGATGTTGATTATGTGGGAGGGAGCCTCTGAAGTGTGGGATCAGATAATACCACAGGTAGACAGTGTCAGAATTCAGCCATGTTGTAGGCCACTCAGCTGGTACCAGAGGACTGCCTGGTGTAAGAGGAAAGGAGAGACAAACAGAAGGAGAAGTCAATTTTCATAAACCCTTTCTTCTGTATCCAGTGCCTGGCACGTGGAGACCCCCGACAGCCCAGGGGTTGTGTTCACACACCATAGACATGTGAAAGACGCTTGAGAAGTGCCTAACTTCTTTGAGACTTAGTTTCTTTCTTTTTGAAATAGTTGTATTTTGCACACAGGGCTGTGTGAGTGTTGAGTAGAATTGCAGAGAAACCTCTGCATTGTCCCTCAAGTCCTGAGCTCCTCAACCAATTTACCTTCTTCTTATCTCCAGAATTTTATGGTGATGTCTTGCACAAGTCACAGGGTGTGTGGCTGTGAGTGGAGGGGAGGAGTAGGAAACAAGGGTCAATACCATCCTCTCCGCATTAGAAGTCTACCTATCAATAGCTAGTGTTTCAACAACAGGTTGATCTGCATCTCCCTGTCTCACATTATCATGTATAGAAACAGATAAGAGCTGTGTTTCTTGTATAACTGAAGACATGGGATCTTGAGAAATATTTAATAGCCCTCAGAGAGTGGCTCTGTTGATTGAAATATTGTCCCATATATGGAAAGTTTGAGAGTTTGACCCCTGCTCAGGCATATACCTAGGGTGTGGGGTCCATCCTCAGACAGAGCATGTATGGGAGGAAAACCACGATGTTCTCTCTCACATCAATGTTTCTTTCTCTCTCTCTCTCTCTCTCTCTCTCTCTCTCTCTCTCTCTCTCTCTCACACACACACACACACACACACACACACACACACCAATAAACATATCCTCAGCTAAAGACAAAAAACAGGTACAGGTATTTAATTAAAAAATGGAAGAATGAACAAAGGTCCTGTCACAATCAAATCCACTTCAGGGGATCTCAACACCCCACCAACTCCCTGCTCTGACCCTGTTCTTTGCTCTTCCCACAGGGACACCAGATGAAGCCCATGTTAGACAGCCCTGCTGACCCCACACACTCTACAGAAGACAGCCTGACCTTGGGAACAGAGACAGAGATGTATTACGCCTCCATCAGCTTTCAGAAATGAATCCTCCTCCAAAGGGAACCCACACAGCATACACAGAGATGAGGACCTAGTCAAAAGCCAGCATGTCCATGTGGGAAAGCTCATTCTTGGAGACTGAACGTTTCCATGGGCAGGAAGCACATAAACTACTGTACGTGCATTTCCTGCGATGTCAAAACTGTGTTAGGTGTTGCAATCAGAGGGACCTGGGATCAAGTTCATGCTCTTCCATTAACTATCAATATGACAGCTGGTCAGCCATCTTACTCCTTCATGTCGCCATTCCCTGCTATGTGATTAGGTGTAAGAAGTTCCACCTCACAGGGTTGCTTGAGGATTGAATAAAAGTCCATATGCAGAACACCCAGCAGAGGTCCTGGTGCACTGTGAGAGTGAGTGACATTTCACTTGGAGGCTGGGTGTCTGTCCTGTTCCAGACACTACATCTGCAACATGTCCGCCTCACTCTCTATTCAAATCCCTCCTGTGGGTTTCTTCCCATCATCTCTCTCCACTCCTGAATCTTCCCTTTCCATCCTGCCTACCTGCCACTAGTCCTGCTATAAGCAAAACCATGTATTGACATCTATAGAATTTCCTAAGACTCAGAGCTGACCAAAATCAAAATACTGCGCTATCTCCCCAGCCCAGAAGAACACTTTACAAGGCTTCAACTTGTTATTCTAGGTCAGGAGTCAGGAAAAAACTTTGTTTTTTAGAAAGCAAATTTTTAGGCTTTGCAAGCTGCGTGGTCTCTGTTTCAATGATGCAATTCTGTTTGCAGGGCAAACACAACCATAGACAATCTGGAAATAACTTAATGTCATGGGTTCACAACATTTTATTTGCAAGGGCAAGCAGCCCCCTGTGTAGTGTTCTCCCCTCTGTTCAAAGTGATACTTAATCTCACCTGGTCTACTTCTCCATCACCATATTCTAAGCTGTCAATCACTCAAGCCAGTCTCTGAAGACCCTTGTTGTGATGCACTTTTGTCTGTCTTTGAGCATCCATGTCCCTCCTCCAGGAATGCTCCTCACCATGTCATCCTCTGCTAACACCTTCTTAGCCTTCAAAATTACATGTCTTCACTGAGATGGTGGAGGAAAGCAGGACTCCATAATCTTCCTCCTGAAAACCCTGACATTTTTTTCATTATTTTCCATCCTGACCTGAGAATGTTTTTTTACTCCTTTGGGAGAGGGAGAAACACTGATTGGTTGCCCTTCTCATACATGTCGCAACAAGGGTCTGAACCTGCAACCTGGGCATGTGCCCTGACTGGGTCTCAAACCTGCAATCTTTCAGTCTACAGGATGATGCTCCAGCCAACTGAGTGATGACAGCCAGGGCAAGATAACTAGTGTTTGAACTTAAAATCAAAGCAAACACGGACCAAAAATTTCCTGTAGCACTAAAACCATGGCAGGGAAGAAGATGCATCATAAGTTCATAAACTGACCCCTAAGGACAAGTGTAGTGTAAAACAATGTCTAATCCCTAAAACCCACTGCTGGGCACCCAGAAAAACAGCCGAGTCATAATTCTGTTCATGATAATATGAGGCAGGAGGATGCAGATCAACCCGTTGTTGAAACACTAACAACTGATAGGTAGACTTCCAATGCAGAAAGGATGGTGTTGACCCTTGTTCCTTACTTCTCCCCTCCACTCACAGCCACACACCCTGTAACTCGTGCAAGAGGCCACCAGAAAATTCTGGAGATAAGAAGAAGGTAAATTGGTTTAGGAGCTCAGGACTTGAGAGACAATGCAGAGGCAGGGCCTCTCAGTGCCCAGACCCAACAGAGGACCGATGCTCAGCTCATTGTTTCTCAAATGCTGACTGAGAATCAGGAGGCGGCCAGGTAGGTGCCTCCCTCTCCAGGTCCCCCTGACAATACCTCTGAGTCCAGCAAGAGGGGCCAATAGGAGCCAGGAAGTGTGTCCTTTCCCCGTGGGGACTGAGAGTATCCCCTTATGTCCAGAAGCACAGGGTGGGTGGAAAGAACTGGATAAAGTCTCCAGCATAGTGTCTAGTATTCCTGACCCTCACTCTTCTCCTTTGTCAGTTGAGAGGGCCTCTCACTTTGAGACTTGTTGTGTAGGTTTTGTTTCTTTTGGTGCAGCCGGTATGAAGACAGTTACTTAGGAGTCATGGGGTGGGGGGAACAGAGTCTCTGCAAGCACATCCTCCTGCCTGTGGCTCAGCCGGGTGGGGCAGACAGACATCATCCCCAGGACAGACAACGCCTGAGAGTGAACAAGAGAGAGGGGAGCTGGAGCAGAGAGAGCAGCCCAGCCCTAAGACCCCAGGTTCTTGGCTCCACCCCAGGCCTATCCACCTTCACACCCTTTCCCCTTCTGGCCCCAAACTGGGACATAAGCCTCTGGGGTCAGGCCCTTCTGCAGAGTTGGGAGGCAGGAACCTGAGGTCTCCTCGGGACATGCTTTCGGCACCATGGACAGCGACAGCTGCCTGACTGAGTCTCCCTAGGGTTCAGCGCTTCCTTGTGTATTGAGCGCCCCCTGGAGGCCAGCCATCTATCAGGCGCAGGGGAGAGTGGGAGGGCCTGGGTGAGGTTCTGCGGACCTCCTAGGTTAGTGATGCTGGTCACGGGTGTCTGGACCTCCAGGGTGCCGCCTTCCTCAGACGTGGGCCCTTCCCCCATAAGGAAGTCAACTGTGTAATGGATGCTGTGCTAACTCATTAGATGGGAATAACGAAGCCAGACTCGGAGCATCACCGGACGAGAGCATTCACCACTCAAAGTGGGGTCCTCCTGACACTTTACAGCTGTTCCAAGACCTGAGGAGAAATCAGGTTTGCTTTTAGCTTTTTATCTGTGCCTCAGCCAGCTGAATACCTTCAAGCACGCTTTCTAATCTTTCCCCATCCGAACTGATTACTCTTACAGTCCAGGACAGGCTTTCCTTTATTCTGGGTTTCTCACATTTCTGTCTTTCTGTCTGCAGCCTTCTGGTCTTTGCCCATCTGGTATCAACCACCGCAGACTCCCAGCCCCACTTCTGCCCAGACACTTCCTGCAGTTACTCACCCAGGCTGGCCTTGAGCCCTAGAGTGAAAGAGTCACAGGAAGTGAAGTAAGTAGATTTATATGTTATATAGATTGGTGATAAGGAGTTTGCAGGAAAACAAAGCAGGAAAGTTATGTAGAAAATATGGGGTGGATTACATTCTTCATGGTGTTGATTGAGGATGTCACTTTTGAGAAGCTGAGCTTTCAGTGTGCACACATGCACACTCACCACAGGTGCCTCCCAGTCACACACACCTCTCAGATGTGCACACAATTCACACAGAAACCACAGACACACATATACACACAGGCACACACAGAGGTCACAGATACTCATATGCACACAATAATCTACAGACAGACCTGCCTCAAATATGCAACACTTCTAAAGAACACACACATACACAAACACAACAGGTCTGAACCCCCATGATTCTCACACAGGCAGCTTTGCAGGGGAAGATTCAGGCTGATGGTCAAGCCAAGCAGACCCAACATCCCAGCAGAAAGGAAGGTCAGGGATGCTCATGACTCTAGGTTCTTCTCTGCCATTTCACTGGCCTTGTCATTCTCAGAAGCCACCACCTGCCATCCGATGTCACCACACCCCTAGTCCCTGAGCCTGTGGTCCAGTGGTCCCTGCAGCCTCATCCCCCCTCCCCACCAGCCTGTGAGGCAATTACAGTTGTGTCCACACTGAGACCAAGCACTGGGAGATGGGCAAAGAAGGGGGGAAGGGGGATACATCTCTCCACATTTGGAAAGACTGAGACCTGAAGCCAGGACAGGTGGGAAGTGAAGTGGATGCACGTGAAAGGAGTGAGGGGCAGGAGAAGAAAAGAAAGTGGGAGGAGGAAGCAGGAAAGCAGCAGGTGGAGGAGAAGAAAGTGGAGGTGAGGGGGAAGGGAATGGGAGATGTGGAGGAGAGAATGGGGGAGGGGAGGAGTCAGATTCCCTTGGATCCTGGAGCAGACAGGCTGAAGGACTGACCAAAGAAGTAGGATACAGCGGGACCCCCTCTCTACCCCACTAGCGTCTCTGGCTGGCTCTGTTCCTGATCTATCAAATGGGATGACTTGCTTCCCATACAACCCTGCTCCCCTTCGACCCCCCAGCTCACCTGCCCCATCCTCCAGGACCACCCTCTGTCCCTTCACGGGTTCACCCAGCCCACCTTCCCTTTGTGTCAGCCCTGACCAGCCAGGCTGTTACTCCGTCCCCGCCCCCAACTCCAGGTCCAGCAGGGTCTGCCTCACACAGACCAGTCTCCAGAACACCCCACTCCACAGAAGGGAGGCAGGAACCCAGGGTGCAGGCGCAGTGACGGGCCTCTCCAGCAGAGGGAGCCGCCTGAGCAAAGCACACAGGACTGGTCCTGCACTGGAGACAGGAGAAGCGGGTGGCTGGGCTGAAGCTGCAGCCATGCAGAGTGCAGAGCTGGTGGAGGCGAAACAGGGGTTTCCTCGCGGGGTATCCTCGCAGGGTTTCCTCCCCTTACCAAGTCCTTCCCCTCCCTCTCCTCCTCACACCCGCAGAACAGCCCCGTCCTATAGACCAGCCCCGTATGGACGGTGTCCAATGTGGGCCAGCCCAGGCCACTCCACACACTTCACTTGGGGGAAACCCCGTGTTCCCTGGCTCGGGCTGTCATAACACAGTTCCGCCTCTAGAGGCATAAACCACAGCAAGTCATATTCTCATAGTTCTGGAGACAGGAAGTTCAACCTCAAGGTGTTGGTATGACTGGTTTCCTCTGAGGCTTCTCAGCTTGGATTGCAGATGGTTCTTCCCCTGAGGTCTCTCCTCTGTGTGTGTCTGTGCTCAAAATTCTCCTTCTAAGGACACCAGTCCTATTGGATTAGGGTCTGCCCTAGTGACCTCATTCTACCTTCACTTCCCGGAAAGATCTCATGTACAAAACCAGTTACATTCAGCAGTAGTGGGGTGATGAAATGAGCAGGTAAAATTTGGGGGTGACAGAATTCAGCCCACAGCACCTTGTGAGCCTGGGCGTCCGACTGTGCACAGGCAGTGAGGCCTTTCCCCAGGCAGCACAGTGAGCAGGAGGGAGCCAGGTTGGAGCCCAGGGCTGTCTGGCTGCAGAGCCTGCAACACTGGCCCCACCCTGGAGGCCTCCACTCAGGAAGCCCAGGGCTGAGATGGCCATCAGGGGATGTCCACTAAGGGCCAGACTCAGAGTGACCACTGAGGACCTGTCAAAGCCAGCACCTGCCCTTACCTAGGGTTCCCCACAGACGACCAGGTTTGAGGACTGAGAGGCCTCCCTGTGACAGATGAGGAAAGTGAGGCTTGGAGGACAGAAGAGCCAGGCCCACCTGACTCCAAAGGCATCTGCTGGCATCTTGCACTCAATCAACTCCAGGGATGCCCGGGCAGGGGGGCTCCCAGCAGGCCAGCTGAGGACCACCTGTGGGGTCACAGGCTGCTGACCGCCTATGTGACCTGGTTTCATGCACTCTGGCCATTCTCACCTGGCAGCTCACTGTCAACTGGGCAGAGAAACTGGGTTTCCTACTCACCCCAGTCTGTGCTCCCACAAACACAACATGGACCACCGGGAGCTGGCATGGCCTGGGGCCCCTCTGTCTCCTCCGGTGTTAGGGTCACTCTCAGGGACAGGTACAAAGGCTGCCACTGTCTCCACTTTGACTCCACGCCCCAGAGGGAGTAGATGCTCTGGAGGACTGTGTGTTCATTCATTCGTACATCACCACCTGTCTCACCTGGAGGGCTATGGCACATTTCATGCCTCACCATTCCTGTCAGCCCCTCCTGAGTCCCACCCCCAGGGGACTGATCCTGCGTATTGTACAGAAGCTGTGTCTGCTTTTCTGAGTGGACAGCAGTGACAGAGGGACAGGCAAGGACATGGAGTTGAGAGTGGTGGGGTGGGTCTTCCTTGGTGTGTGGGGACCTCACGGGGATATTGTGTGGAAAGTGGAAGTGCTTATTCTCCAAGGGCAGGGCCAGCTCTCCCACTGGGGCTGCCCACTTCCTCATCACAGATCGTCACCTTTCTCCCTTCCCCCTGGCTTCCTGTTGGGACTTCCTCTCAGTCCTGTGACACCAAGACCCTGACACCCCAGAGATGCTGCTGCTGCTGCTGCTGCTGGCCCTGCTGTGGGCAGGTGAGTGCCCCAGGGGGAGCCTGTGGGCTGGGGTGGAGGCTGTGGCTGACTGGTCTTTCCCTACAGGGTCCCTGGCTCAGGATGAAGGATTCTGGCTGCAAGTGCCGAGGTCTGTGACGGTACAGGAGGGCCAGTGTGTCTCTGTGCCCTGCACCTTCTTTTACCCCCAGGATGGCTGGAAGGAGTCTACCCCTGCTTATGGCTACTGGTTCCGGGAAGGGGCCGACACAAACAAGGATGCTCCTGTGGCCACAAACAACCTCAATCATAAAGTGAAGAATGAGTACAGTGGCCAATTCTACCTCGTTGGGGACCCACAGACCTACAACTGTTCCCTGCACATCAGAAACGCACAGAGAAGGGGCACAAGGAGATACTTTTTTCGGGTGGAGAGGGGATCCTCTGTGAAATACAATTACATACACAACAAGCTTTCTGTTCAAGTGACAGGTAAGAAACAGGGACAAGGTGAGGACACGTGTCTGGGTCCTGAGGGCTTCTGGGCTAGGACAGAACCTGATTCTCCTCATCCTGGGAAGGACTCAGGGACACCAATGGGGCCTGGACCCTGGGGCTGGCCTGGCACTGAGGCCGCAGTTAGGGGCACACCTGGGGACCCCTCCCCCAGTGCTTTGGTCTCTCTCTCTCTCTTCTCCAGATCCAGTACCTGACATCCACATCCAGGGGACCCTGCAATCTGGCCGCCCCAACAACATTACCTGTACAATGTCATGGGACTGTGACAGAGAGACACCACCCGTCTTCTCCTGGATTGGGGACAACTTTACACCCCTGGGTCTCAGGACTCCCAACTTCTCAGTGCTCACCCTCACACCAGGGCCCCAGCACCACGGCACCAACCTCACCTGTCGGGTGGAAATGCCTGGTGGTGAGACCAGGGAGAAGACCGTCCAGCTCAATGTGACTTGTGAGTACCCACCCAGTGAGGACACCAGTCCTTGAGGATGGATGGAGTTGGGGACATAAGGTTGAACCGTGGAAGCGGGGCCTGGGGAGAAGGAAGGAGGACACCCAATTTCACCCGTGTCCTGTGTATCATGTTCGTGGGCGGAAAGGGCCAATGCCCACCATTCTGCCACTGATAAGGGAACAATTATGTCTGTCTGTGCAGATGCTCTCCGGAACCTGACCATTGTGTCCTTGACAGAAGGCACAGGTAAGGAGAATCTTCTCCTGTCTGGGGAGTGGAAGGGGGTCTCCCTGTGCCCTGCAGAGCAGAGCTGGGATTTCAGAGCTCAGGTGGGAGAAAGAGTCAGGCCAGATAAGGAGACAGTAGGGGTGAGACACCCCTCACTCATTCCTTGTTGGCTCACAAACTGGCCTTTCCGGCCCGGACCCCCTCACGGGACACTGCATGAGGTTCTCAGATGTACAGCACTGTGGCCAGACATTCATAGAACTTACAAAGGTATAAGTTTAGTTCCCCCTGGCACGACCCATAGTTATTACAATGTCATTCACTATATTCCCTCTGCTGTACTTTATATCCATACTACTTTTATAAAGGGCAATTTGCAATGTTATTTTTAAAATTTCCCTTGATTTCTGCTAGTAGCCTCATGTAAACGCCCCCAACATGGCCACTCAGTCAGGCCTCACAGGACTACTTGCTACTCTGGGAGCAGGCAGGGCAACGCGCCACCCTGGTGGTAGTTGTGCTGTGTGCCATCCTCCCACAGTGTCCACCACACCAGCACCATCACCTGGCCAGCTCCCTCCCCTTCTTGTGCTCTACTTAACCTCTCCTCCTCCAGGAAGCCCTCCCTGACCTGCCAGTCTCATTCAAGTCCCGTCCTCAGGGCTCCCTCAATGCAGTTAATCCCCCATCACAAAGTGGGTCTTACTGCTCTGTGATAACCCCCTTTTGGGGCATCTCATCCATGAGACTGTGAGCTGTGAGACACAGCTGAATTGGGCAGGTCATGGTGTACCACTGTTGACAGACATGAATGTCAAGGTTCATACAGAGAAATCTGGGGTCTGCATTGGCACTGGTGGCCAAGGCAGGAGGCCTGGGGACCTGGGTGGTCCAGCCAAACACTCAGCAGTCTCTTGCTGAGGCTGTGGTGTCTGCCCATAGCCCTGTCCCCTTGAGGCTGAGCCCACACGGTACACCCCATGAGATTATGGAAGAGAAGAAACTGATGTACATAATCTAATGAGGGGAGAGAGGGATAGAGAGCACAGAGATGATGAGAAAGACTGAGACAGAGGGAAATATGGAAACAAAAAGAGAGAGAGAAAGAGAGAGAGACATATGGATAATGAAGAAGATGGAGAGGGAGAGCCAGGGAGAGGCAGAGCCACAGAGGCAGACGTGCAGATGGGGAGAGAAGGAGACTGAGGGAAACCTAACCAGAACTGGGGCTTGACTCCCTCTCTGTCTTTCCAGTTGCTGAAGTTCTGGCCAATGGCTCATCTCTCCAAGTCCAGGAGGGTAAGTCCCTGCATCTGGTGTGTAAAGCTGACAGCAACCCGCCCACCAGTACAAGGTGGACCCAGGGCAGCCTGACCCTGGAGTCCACAGACCCAGGGGTCCTGAAGCTGCCCCAGGTGCAACTGGAAGACCATGGGAAATACATCTGCAGAGCTCAGCAGCTTGAGTCAACCTCTCTGGAAGCCTCTGTGACCCTCCATGTGAAAAGTGAGTAGGAACACACCTGTGGGCAGTGCCCTGGGGTCTTGAGAAAGAGAGAGGCTCCTCTGATCCCTCCCCTGTTTCTACCCACAGACCCCCCACAGCTGCAGGGACCCTCCTGCTCCTGGGATGATGGGGGTCTGCACTGCACCTGCTCCTCGAAAGCCCAGCTGACCCCCTCACTGCGCTGGTGGCTGGGGGAGGGCCTGCTGGAGGGGAACCACAGCAATGCCTCCCACACAGTCACCTTCCACTCAGCAGAGCCCTGGGCCAACAGCTCCCTGAGTGTCCGTGGGGAGCTTACATCCAACCTCAGGCTCCGATGTGAGGCCCAGAACGCCCATGGGAAGGAGACAGGGACTGTCCTGCTGCTGCCAAGTCAGGGTATGCCTGGTGAAGCCCAGGGAGGGGGTGCACAACCCTGGACCCTAGAACACACTGAGTGGGAGGGAAAGTGGCCCGACTCTATGCAAAGGGGAACTGGAGTCCAGGCCCCAAAGACATGTGGCTGGGGGTGGGGGGAACCGGGGGACCTAGTGGCTGCAGTCATATGAATGGGTGGGGGACAAAGGAGTCCTGGATGGGACTGGGCACACTGGTCAGCATGGGTTTGAAAAGGCGGGGTGCTCAGATACCTGCTTAGGGAAAGAGGAGCTCACCCCAGGTGTCTCGTCTCTGCAGGGAGACCAGGACATAGGACAGGAGTGATTCAGGGGGCTGTCGGGGGAGCTGGTGCCACAGCCCTGCTGGCCGTCTGCCTGGGCTTCATCATGTGAGTGGGTGGTGACCCCAGGCTGGGCAGAGGCCTCAGGAGACGGAGGTGGTGGTGTGTGGGGGTGGGGACCCAAATAATCTCCAAACCTGAAAGCCCAGAGTGGTAACAAGGTGGTCAATCCAGGAAGAGGTGCCACAAGTTGATGCGGTGACAAGAAGCCAGCCTCCTGGCACCTTGGCCAAGTGCACTGTGTTCCCAACACCTGGTTGCAGCCGTCTGGGAGGAGGGGCGTGTGCTCCTGTCCTGGTCCCTGCAGCCAGGCCTCAGCCTCCACACCTGCCTCAATAAGCCCTGCCAGGCCCCCAGGTGGGAGCCCACTGGACTGACAGGCCCCGTCTCTCTCCTCAGACTGAGGATCTGCAGGAAGAAATGGGCAGAGAAGGCAGAGAGCCAGGAAGGCACCTCCCAGGTGAGTGCCGGGGGCCATGTTCCACCCAGTGCTTCTGTGGTGAACACAGGAGCTCCTCCTCTGTCCCCAAACTGGGCCCTTTCCCAGGTTTCCTGGCAGAGCCCCTCAGATCTGAGGACTGTCCTCTCCTGCATCTCCCAGAATCTGCCATTGGCCAAGTCATGTCCCATTTTTCTTGGAGCAAGGCCCTTCTCCTTTGCTTCCTGTCTGGCCAAGCCCTCAACCACTACCCTGGGTCCCTGACTCCACCTCCCCTCCCCGAACATTCCCCTCACAGCCGTGGTGCTCCCACCACTAACATCAATGAGTCCAACAGAAATGTGATACAAACAACGTTTATAACTTACAATGAAAAAGTAGGAAGGAACACGAGATCAGCTTGCCTATCTGTAAAGTGGGATAACAGTCATATCCATGGAGAGAGGTCATAAGGTTTATGTGAGATTAGTAATAAAAACAAGCTTTTATGATAAAATTTGTTAATGGTACAAATGAATAAACGAGTGATTGGGTGAGGGAATGAATCCTCAGGAAATGGGTGTGAAATGGACAAATGAATGAGACCCCCAAGCCCCAATTACCCATCTCCAGACCCCAAAGGCCAGCTCAGACACCCCTCTCTCCTCCCACTCAGGGTCACCTGAATGCACCCTCCTCCCAACACCTGCCCCCAGCACCGGCCGCCTCCCCCTCTGAGCATGAGCTCCATTACGCTGCTCTCAGTTTCCACAACATGAAACCACACAACCCTCAGGCCCAGGAGACCCCGTACTCTGACGTCAAGCTCCGGAAATGATGGTGCACACCCACCTGCAGTAGCTGGTTGGGGAGCCCAGAGAAAGCATCTCTGCAAAGAAGGTGTGTCAGGGTCTGATTCTTAAACAGTTAACAGCCCTCTGAGCCAAAGGTCATGAATGGAAACCTGAAGTTCTTTGGAGTGGCTGAGATTGCGGAGATTTCTGGGTTTGAATCCAGGCCCAACTACTTACTGAGGGTATTCCAGGAGGCAAGTCACTTCACCTCTGTGTGCCTCAGTTTCCTGCTCTGTAACATGGGGGATAATTTGATGACCTACATTGTTAGGTGAGAAGACATGCACCATTAAGGACATTGTTATGTGCTAAGTTCACCTCAGGATGGAACAGAGATGTCACTTTCGACTCTACCTCTATCTTCTGTTTGGCTGACAACTTTTAAGAACATGTGTTATCTTCTTTGGGTGGAGAGGAACTTGTATTATTTAAAAATATTTCTCTTCCTAAATGTAACTCCCTGGTAGGAGAAGATATTTCCCAGTACATGTATGTAACCAAAGGTTCATCCAGAGTAAATAAAGACTGTGTAAAGATCTTCCAAAAATCAACAAGAAAAAGGCAGACCACCCAAGAGAAAAAAACGGGATATGCTAATGGACAATAAGCACCTAGGAAGGCGGCAGGCTTCAGTAGTGGTCAGGGGACTGCAAACAGAAACTGTGGTGCTGTACCACCACACAGCCACCACACTGGGGAAAATAATAAAATACCAGGTGCTGAGAACATTGCACTGAGTGAAGAAAGAGCCAGTCACAGAAAGACAGGTACTGTGATCCCAGCTACACACTGTATCTGCAGCCATTAAACTCTGAGAAACAGAGGTCACAGGGCCCCTGAGGAGGGAACATGGGAAGTCTGTGCAGAGTTTCTGTTTTGGAAGATGAAGAGGTTCTAGAGAATCATGGACAATCACGTGGGGAGACTCAACACCACTGTGCTGTGCACTTAAAAATAGTGAAGGATTTTGTGTTTTTAACCACAATAAAGAAAAGTAACATATAGTGGCTTCCAAGGGCCTGAGACTGGGGGACTGGGTGGGCTGTTTGTGTTGAACGGGTACAGAATTTCAGTTCAGGATGAAGAAGAAGTTGTAGAGGTAGAAGGTGTTGATAGTTGCACAAAGTGAATGTACTTAAGGCCACTAAACTGTACATTTAAAAATAGCTCAGGAGTAAGTTTTATGTTGCACATGCCTTATAGTGATAAAAAGTTTTCAAAGACGACCAAATGTTCATCGGGATGTGGAGCTCGGAGACAGGCTGGTGGGGAGGAGACTGGGACGACCTCTTGGGAAACACTGAGCATACAAGCCAGCAGTTCCACTCCGGGGGTCTGCCCTAACACAGATGTGTGCAAATGCTCCTGAAATGTGCACCTGGAGGTCCCCAGCAGCACTCCCTGTGAGGGCTGAGCAAGGCAACCTCCCCGAATTTTCATCAACGGGTCCACATAGTGCAGATTATTTACACAGTGGAAGAAGCAAATAAGAACTCCACACCATGTGTGTGAATCCTACCTCCACATTATGTTGAGGAGGGAACCCAGACACAGAGTATGCACTGTGTGATACTGTTGACATGAGGTTCAGAAGCAGGCAAAACTCATCTTTGGGCCCTGGCTGGTGTAGCTCAGTGGATTGTGCATGGGCTACAAACCAAAGGGTTGCCAGTTTGATTCCCAATCAGGGCACATGGGTTGCAGGTGAGGCCAGGTCCCCAGTAGGAGGCGTGCAGGAGGCAACCACACATTGATGTTTCTCTCCTTCCTTTTCCCCCTCCCTTCTCCTCTCTAAAATAAATAAATAAATAAATAAATAAAATACTATAATTTTAAAAAAAATGTGTGACCTACCAGTACATGCTTCAACATGGTTGAGCATCAGAAACATGCTACATGAAAGACACCAGGCAAGAAACATTACATATTATGTGATTCTAACACACAGCATCCCAAATAGATTAACCAATAGAGACAGAAGGCAGATTAGGAGCAGCCAGGAGCTTCAGGGGAGACCCAATGGGGAGCGACTGATTCACGGGTATGGGGTTTCCTCCGTTCGGGTGATGGAAACAGTTTTGGGACAAGATAGAGATGGCAGTTACACAACATTGTCAATGTGCTAAATGACACTAAATTGTTCACTTTGGAAATGGTTAGTGTTATGTTACGTATTTCCCTTTTATTAAAAAAACATCATTTAAACTCTTCACTCACCCCACCAGGAGTCAAACACCTCAGACACCACTTAGCCTCTGGCTCCTTCCACTGCCTCATCTGTGAAATGAGGTAAAAACATGCCTCAGCCCATGTGGCTGTTCTGGGAATTCCATAAATTAATGGGCCTGGGCACGGCCAGCGCCTGGTGCATGGCAAGCCTCAGGAAGGATCAGAGCTGGGTGGCTGGTCAAAGTGTCCTCAACCATGCGCTGCCCAGGTCATCATTCAAGTCCCTAAATGACCTCTTGGTGTCAAGTCCTTAACAAGCAGTCACAGACTTTCCATTTGTCTCTGATGAAGTGGGTGTTCCTGTGGTTACCAGAAAGGCTGCTGGTGCAGAAGGTGGCAAATAAGTAGAAGGGCTGTTTCAAGGAATTATGGCCAAGCTTTTGTCTCACGTACCCCTCCCACATGGCCCATTCCCACAAGTCACCAAGTCCCTGATCTGGGCTCCATTTCATCCCATCCAGCCATGTTGCCAACACCAGCAGCACAAGGAGCTTCTCACACTCAGCTCCAACTCCGCCCTCCTCTCTGGCTAGACATCCTTCCCCACCTGCTACTTTCAAGGTATCCACTCTGGTGGGAGTTGTTCAGGAATGTTCACAACCTCACCATCATTGCCTCATTCATCACACACCTCAGCCACATGCCTGCCACCACCTGAAAACCTCCTGCCCTTCTGGCTGCTCCACACTGAATTCACTTGGTTCCACCACCCTGTCAAAGTGTCCCCATTTGCCGTCTTTGCAGCATATGGTTATCCTGTGAGATCCAGGTCAAATATCACTTCCTCACACAAGCTGCATTTACTGCCTTTCCAACCCTCCACCCCTGCCCTTTCCCACAGGTTGGATTAGAGCCATGGTTCTGTCAATGTCAGTGCTGTTGATATTGGAGCATTTGTAGCTGAGTGGGGTTTTTCGTTGTGTGGAATGGGCTGTCCTGTGCATTGTAGGATGTTAAGCAACATCCCTGATCTCTGCCAACAGATGCTAGGAGCTTCCTCAGCCCTGTTTTAACAACCAAAGTATCTCCAGACATTTCCAAATGTCTGTAAATGGTAACCCCCCCACACAATGAGAACCACAGGGTTAGAGTCTCCCACCTCTGCCTTCACAGAGTCACTTTGGCAGTTGATAAACTTTTTCCAGTTCTTCTTTTCAAGGTCACCAGAAAACTTTACTCCCAGATCATTTCATAACAAAAGTGCATTTCAGCTTCTTTGCATCACATTCATAAAGGAAACATTGGGAAATCCTTACATTCCTCCCCATTTCTTTGTTCTCTAAACGTTTACTGCATGTCCATTATACACCGGAAACAATAAGAGGAAGAAGATACAGTTCCTGCCTCAGGGGAGCTCAAGTCCATAGTTTGGGGTTTGGTGAAAGGCACAGACATATGTAAACTATTAAAACACAGTGTGATGAGGTTCTCATGACCTGGGGGTCCAGGGACCAGAGCTCTGGCCTCTGCCCTCAGGGGTGGAAAGGGAGTGAGAAAAGGCTTCTCAGGAGAAACTCCTCTTGAGATGCACCTTGAGGGAAAAGCGGGAGTTGGCCAAGCAGAGATGGGAGGGAAAGCATCCCAAGCAGTGGTGACATTAGGCACAAAGCAAGGGGCTGGGAGAGGTCCTGGCCACTGTCTGGGCAGGAGCAGTCCATGTGTGATAGCTGGAACCTGGGGTAAAGGTGGCAAGGTGGGGTCACACCCCTGGATGTCTGTCTGGAGTCTGTTCTCCAAGGGCTGCACAGATGAGCAGAGGAGGCTGGTCTTCAGCCTTCAGTCTGTCACGTAAAGAACAAATCTGGAACTAGGTAAGGAGAGACTTTATTCAAAGGATTATCATAAGCCCTGGGAAGTGGCTTAGTTGGTTGCAGCCTGGTCTCTTACACCAAAGTGTAGTTGTTTGGATTCCTGATCAGGGCACATGCCTGGGTTTCAGTTTTGATCCCTGGTTGGGATGCATATGAGAGACAACGGATCAATGTTGCTCTTTCTCTCAAATCAATAAAAACATATCCTCAGTTGAGGATTTTTAAACAAGGCTTATTGCAGTAAGGAGAGTGAGATTATTGCAAGGGGCATAGGAACTATTACTCTAAGGGAAGAAAGACTGCTTTTGTCACAAAACAAGTCCTAATACATTTTGAAAACTGGATACCATCTCTTCATGTCACAGCGGAATGAAACTAGAAATCTAGAATGGGGAAATTTGAAAACTCGCAAATATGTGAAAAGCAACAACATGCATTTAAACAACCAGTGGCCAAAGGATAAATCACAAGAAACATTAGAAAATACCTGAGGATGACTGGGCTGGGGTGGAGTGGGAGAGTGGTAGTGGGGAAATGGAGACAACTATTGCCATAATATGGCATGGTTTTACTTAAATGAGATACCCAGAAGAGTCAAATTCACAGAGAAAGTAGACTAGGGATTACTCAGTACTGAGGAGAGAAAGAATTGGGGAGTTATTGTTTAATGAGTACAGCATTTCAGTTTCAAATGACAGAAAATTTTTCCTGGAGGTGGGGAGCAGTAATAGTTGAACAATAATGTGAATGTTCTTAGTGACACTAAACTGTACACTTAGAAATCTTAAAATGATGTGTTTTATGTAATATATATCTTATCACAGTTTTAAAAAGGGATATTGTACCATGTTCCGGGTCAATTTTAATTCATCTGTTGATTCAATTAAATTTTAGTCAGAATTCTGGGAAGGGAGAGAGAGCAAGAGAATCAACAAGTTGATTCAGTTTTAAAATAAGATTCAAAAGAGCTCAAAGAAATGAGACACTCTTAAAGAAGTGCAAAGTTGGAAGCCTTAAAATGCTTGACTTCAAGACTTTGATAAAGTTGGGGAAATTAAGACACTGGTATTGATGCAAGAATAAATAATAAGTTACTGGAACACAAACAGTAACTAAATATATATCCACACAGATAGAGACTTGACTAATGAATAAAGTGATCCTGCAATTCAAAGGAGGAATAATTGTCTTTTCAATAAATGGCTGAAGCTGTTATGTATCTATTCACAAAGAATCAAACTGTACCCACATTTACATCACACTCAAATATTCACTTAGGATATGTCATAGACTTAGATATGAATGGTAGAACAATAAAGCTTCTAGAAGACAAAGGGGGGATGTTTTACCACCTTAGGGGAAGCTAAAAGAATTCTTTTATGGTAGCAAACACAAATATTGCTACCATAAAATTTTCTAAATGATAAGTTGAATTTCATTGAAATCAAGAATTTCTCTTAGTCATAAACACCATTAAGAAAGTGAAAGCCAGGCAAAGACTTGGAGAAGATATTTGTTTAAAAAAACATGGCAAACAATATCTAGAATATATAAATAAGTTATTCAAAAGTTTTTAAAAATTTATTTTAATGGAGAAAGAACCTACATGGGCATTTCACCAAAAATAAGTATTTCCAAATGATTAATAAGAGCAAGAAAATAACATTACCCTTTCAGGGAAATGCAAATTAAAACCACAGTAAGATACTACTAGGCAAACACTAGAATGACTAAAATTAAAAATTGTCTTTTTATGTATTAGCAAGGATGTGGACCACGTTGAGCTCTCCTACGTTCCTGCTCAAGAGTCTAGCACTCACTTTTACAAAAGTTCACCATTTAGATGGAAGTGTCAACTGGTTTGTCCACTTTGGACAATTCTTTGGCAGTATCTGACAAAGCTAAACATACACCTAACATGAACCTCTGGGCCTGTTCTTGATTAAATAAATACTTATTGATGTATATAAATCACCCTCAGTGTTCCAGGCATGGAGGAAACAGCAGTGAAAAACAAACAAACAAAAAAAACCCTTACGTCCATAATGAGTTTACATTCTAGTGGGGTAGTCAGACCATAAGCAACAATATAATTTAGTAGCAATAAGTGTTTTGAAAAATGTGTAATAGATAAGAAACTGTTTTATGAGTCTGCAGTAAAAAAAAATAAAGCAGGTTTAGTGAAGGGCAATATGGAGCCATCACAGTGGGAGGGTAATGTGGTTTTCATCAGCAAGGTCAAGAAGGGGCTCTTGAGAAGAAAACTAATGCCCAAACTTTCATGGTACTGCCCACTACTAATGGTTACCTCAAGCCCTCCAGAGCACCCTCCCTGCCCTCATACCCCACAAAGGGGTAGGGACATGCAGTATCAGCTGCTGATTGGCTCTGGTTGCTATCATCAGCCCTAACAGGCAAGAACCCATGAACTCACTTTTCATCTGCCTCATTGATTGGCTGCAGAGTAATAAAACATGAAGCTGCTGATTGGCTGCAGAGTAAATGGAATGTGCAGCAGCTGATTGGCTGTAGAGTAATAGCTCATAAGGCTGCTGATTGGCTGTGCATAGACGCACCCCACGCAAGGCGTGTGCGGAGGACCCAGAGAGACATCCCGGCGCCATTACGCTGATTTCCACCTGCCTCCGACGGAAGACAATTGGCTTCGTGAGGCCAGAGCTGGCCTGTTGTCTTTCCTGACAATTGTTGAGTGTGGGACT